CTCTCTCTCTCTCCCCTTAAACATAAACTGTATTAAACTGTATTCAGATCCTGTAATTGAGTATATGATAGGAAAGCATTTAAATCCAAGCAATAGATGCGTTTATAAGCTTAGGTGAGTCGGAACTGGCGGTAAACTAACGATATGAACGCAAAACATTGCAAAATTCATAATTAGAAACAATTTCTATTACAATTCAATTTACAAATTATTGACCCAAAAAGTTAACGTTAAACTTGTTTAGCATACACTACGTGGCCATACACTCAAAGAATCTGCTTTTCTCTATCTATTTCTATCGTTGACAGTGTTTTAGGTCATCACTAGTTAGTGATTGATTGACAAATCGTTTGGTAATATTCAAGCCATATATCGACGCGAAGTAAAACAAAATAAAATTCATTACTAAACGGCAATAGTAGTGACCAAACAATTGTCTGTCATTTTTTCAACAAAGGATACAATTCTTATACAAAATGTAAGTATTATTCTGTGATTTGTTTGTTATGACAGTTATTGAATGCTTCACTAGTTTTGGGCAATGGTTTACATTTTGCACATTTCATAAGTGATAATAAAAATGACTAAATTTGTTGCTTTACTTTTATTTGTCGGCGAATAGGTTGACAACATTGTTGGTGGCGCTACAGGTGGTCACCGTATTGTCGACACCGGCACCGGTAGGCAATACACACCGGCATCACATCGTTTCGCGTATTAAGCGTCAAAGTCTTCACAACTTTAACTCAAATTTTAATTTTCAAAACTTTTCAAACGCTAATTCATTTGTAAGTAATATTATATCAATAAAATATATAAAAAATATATATCAAATTTTGACCATCAGTTCCCTCCGTCTCCGGACTTTACGTCAGCGTTCAGACAACAGTTCCCGCAAACGGTGAACACCGGGAGCGCCGCCAGTGATCCGAACCAAGGATTCAATACTATTCGCCGTTTCCCGCAATTCCCGTCGAGTAGTGGTCAGCCCTCGTCTTTTGGCAGTCAATCGCCTTTTGGGAGTCAATCGTCTTTCGGCAGTCAATCGTCTTTTGGCGGTCATCAGCCGTCCATCGATTCGTCGGCACTCCTTCCCCGTCAGCCGCAAGTGATTTCGGTGCTGAGCGGCGCCGGAGCCGGTCCTCATCAGCCCGTGTCGTGGAATCCGCCGCCAACTATAGTCCCTCCGGCGGCCACCAATCGCCAAAAACAGGCGCTTCAGATCAATCCTCAGCCGCAGTCGACGCCATTGTCTTCAACGGTGTTCGGATCGGCCGCTCCGGTAGTGGAAGACAGGGATAGGGATGAGCGTCAGAGTCGATATTTGTCGCAATCGGTTCCGTCGGCGCAAAATGTATTTCCGAGCCGTGACTTTGAGTCGGCCATCAGTAGAGGAGGCGCTCAATCGCAGCCATCACAACCCCCACCGGCTGTGGCGGCCGCTCCACCCGTGCCGTCGGCGGCGGCTGTAAACGGATCCAAACCACAGAAAGACGATGTCGTCATATATTACTACTACTATTACGACGACGACAAGAACGCCACCAAACCCTCGGGCGGCGATTCGAGTTTGGACGCCATACCATCGCTGGAGTCCTTCGATCAGAACCGAAGTCCGAACAGAGGCGGAGACAAACCCGGAAGAGTTGTGGTCAAGAATATGGACAAAGAGATCGTCAAACCGATTGCTACTCGCGACCAGTCGTTTGGGCGCCAATCGGAACCTATCGTTGAGTCGCGACGACCAGCGCCTCCTCCGCCGCCTCCCACGCCATCGACGCCTCTGTTTGTGTTCAATAGCGAAACGGCAGCGCCGGTCACTTCTCCGCCGCCTCAACACAACATAGGTTTTGGTGGTTTCGTTAGTCAACGAGAGTCAGCGCCTAATGTTGTGGTCACTCAACCGCCCGTCGAGAGGACCAGTTCTGCGGTCAGCGTTTCGGTGTCGGAGTCCGTAAACAGCGCTCCCGTGTCCAACATTTTCCGATACGGTTCCAGAGGTGTCGACAGTTTTCGGTCGCCGCCATCCGGCGCCGGATCGCCAGGAGATTCCAGTAGTGTCCGCACCAGCTCTTCGAGCAGCAGTAGTTCTTCGAGCAGTAGTTCCAGCGTTTTGGCCACTAATGGCAACACTATAAATGGCGGCGGAAGACCTCAGAGTTCATTCCAGCCTCAGTTTCCGGGACAGGCCTTCAGACACATCCCGCAACTGTCCACTCATGAGCCACCGGTCAGTACTGTTGTCACTCCGAGTTCACTGAACTACGGGCGCATAACCTTCACACCCGACGGCTTCCCTCCGCCCAAACAGCCGGTGGACAACCAGTTGGACTCATTGGGCCGACCGGCCAACTCTTTCGAGTCATACTCTGTGGCCACAAATCCGCCCACAATTATGACAACACAAGCGCCGACCACTTCTACAACCACTACCACCACAACGACGACCACAACCACTACAACAACTCCGCCGCCGCCGGCCGTCGAAGAAGAAGCGCCGGAACAGCCGCGCAGATTCGGTAATCGGCGTCGACCGAACGCTGCCCGTGACCGTGGTGCTCTTTTGAATAGAGTCCGGCCCACAATCAGCAGCACAACCACAACCACTACCGCCAGCCCTACCACTCGCGTCCGGCCCACGAGACCCGCCGCCGGAGGCTTTCGCCAAAGACCCGGAAGATTTAGGAAACGCCCGGGAAGTGGAGGCGAAGACGACGAGCCAACGCAAGCGTCAGCCGCCAGTACGGCCGCCACCGCCGCCGCCGCTCCGACCGCTAAGCCATCGACGGAATCGTCGGCCACAACGGCCGCTGCGGCGCCGCCGCGAAGATTTGGCGCCGGAAGCGAAAGACGTCGATTCGGTGCCGGAGCCGCACGACAGCCAACAATAAATAGAGTACAACCGACTCCCGTCTCCACTACCGCCGCCCCATCAGCTCTGCCCACCAGAGCGTCGCCAATATCTGCCAGAAGGCCCGGATCTGCATTGAGTAGCGCCCGAAGGCCGCAACTTAGAGGTCGACTGCCGACCAGAAACCGAAATCAAGAGAACGCCGAAGAGTCGAGTCCCACACCACCCGTTGTAGCGTCTGAAGCGCCAATTGTTACCCCCTCTGAGGCACCGGTGGTGGCCGTGAGTGCTGTCACTCAAGACACTAACCCTCCGCCGTCCGCACCCGTCAACACTCAGGACGTGTCGAATGAGCCCTCAAATAATGAAGAATCGCCTGAAGTGTCTTCGGCTGCGCCCACGGAAAAGCCCAAAGGAAGACAATTACGACCACTGTTTGCAAACAGACAGCGATCGTCTCTGTTTGGCCGTCGAGGGGCCGGTTCTGGCGGTGCACCCAATGCTGACTCCAATTAAATGAGATCATCGGTACGTTTTCATCAGTAATATTGTTGTCAACAATCATCCAAATGCCTGAAAACGTGTGAAACAAACTTTTTTGTTGAGTGTTTGTGTGAATATTTTTTTAATTTGTTAATTATATTTAGTGTTTTGATTAAATATATGTTTTTATAGATTTGTTTTAACACTCGATTGCATTTATCGATTGAATTATCATTTATTTTTATAATTAATAGAAACGTCTCGCAAAACACAATTTAACTAACGATTCAATCAATATATCAGTTGAAATGATTTTTTAAACAGTAATAATATTAGTAATAATAATAAACAGTATTATTAATAATGATAATAAACTTAAAAACATAAATCCAGCAATAATCCGATTATTTAATGTTAATTTTAATGAATAAACGACTGATTCTGTTATTAAAGTATGAATTCTTATACAAAACACAAGACAAACGAAATTGATATAAGAATATAAATTAAATTCCACATAAAAATGCTCTTAACGTACACTTTATTCTTTATACGGAATTCAGTATTTTTAATCCCATCTCAAGAATTATAAGATATATTTTTCAATGTTTTTTAATACTCATAAACAATCATTAATTTATATAATTTTTTATATTATAATTGTTTTCAATTTTAAATAAAACAAAATTTTTAATTATAAATGATGTGTACAGTTATTTTGATTACATATCAATAAATTTATTCCAAGTTTAGTTTTTATAATTAAATGTCAATATTTAATACATTAGTTTTTATCGATTTTTCATTTACTTGACGTCCAGAGATGTCATATGAAATAGGATTTTCATTTAACTGGTATTTAAGTTATCAAACTATCCAATGGTTTGGTCGTGACATTCAATACCTGCCTTTTCTTCACAAATACTATCAAACATTTGGTATAAAGTCTATTGATTCTGCGAATTGACAAAAACAATCAAAAATATTTTATTTCTAATATTTTCTTCTCTCACTTCATCATAAGATTTCAATATGTGTTCTCAATATTAATGCTTTCCTTTAGTTTTATCCATTTTGAAAATGAATAAAAACATAAAACCCAATGAGTTTAAGCAATAATATTTTAGTTTCAAACAAATTAATAAATAGTTAAATGAATTATCGTTTCAAACAAAGGAATCGTTGTTTCCAATGAAGAGATCATATTTCACTTCTAAGGCAACCAATGCTTATAAATTGGAGTAAATATCGATTTTAATATAAGTGTTATTTTCAATCTCTCTCTCTCTCTCTCTCTCTCCTATTATTAAGGACCAAATTGTAATCAAATTGTCCGAATAGTAGAGAATTATCAAATACCAAATAAAATATTCTTGTATTGATTTCTATAACTTTTACGTTTACAATCCAATTATTAGTCTGTATTAACAATAATCAAATTTTACTGTCAATATAGGCAATAAAATTTAAGCAATAATGTTATATAATATATTACATAATACTTTCGTCATTTAACAAGAAGTTATTTTTCTCGTGAATTAGTATTTAAGTGAATATTTAGTATTAATAATAATTTCATTCAACAAATCTTACTCAACAAAGTTATAGTAAAGCATCAGAAATGAGCGATTCGTTTGAAATGAATAGCGAAGAGTTTGAAAGCGACGAAAAGGAAGAGAATAAGAGGTTTGAAGTAAAATAGATTTCATAATTAATTTACAATTATTTTAACAAAAAATATTAGAAAAAATCGTAACCTTCGTGAGAAGAATCGTCGAGATCTGTTTAATTTGCTAATCAATGAGTTGTGTTCAATCATTAACTATAACCCAATGCCCGCCAATCCGATGGACAACAACGCGACCGCCGCCGGTGGCAGTCATGCGGACAATGGAAGCGCTGGTAATAAACATAAGACCGATAAGTCGTCGATATTGAGGGCATCCATCACTTTCCTCGAGACTTATTCGGAAGCATTGAATGTTAAATCAGATGATAACCAGAAGAAGAGGACGGAATCGTGCGAACAAAATGTGTCCACTGATGGCCAAACACCTGCCGCCCAAACTGTCAGTATATTCTCGTGGAAGCCATCCTTTATGGCAAACGACGAGTTTATTCATCTCATGCTTGAAGTAAGTCTGGGTTTTAAGTTATACAGTATATATCCAGACCTGTTATAATTGAAATTAATATTGATATCGTAAATATTAATCTTCTTTACTAATTTTAAGCACTCATAATGTTATTGTTATTTGTTTTATTAAAATTAGTCTTTAGATTCATTTATAATCATAATTGAAGCGACAAATGATGGAAAAATACTATACGTTTCGGAGACTGTATATCCATTGCTAGGCTTATCGTCAACGAAACAGTTGCACAAAACAGTGACCACTGATGACGGGAGCGACGAGACTCACAGGCTATCCATTTATGATCTCATTCATGAAGAAGAGAAAATGTTTGTCGAAAATTTCTTGACGTCAAAGCCATCGCAGTATTCATTTGGGCAAACATTTGCCTCAATTTTGGTTCACTTCAAAGATTATGATTTCAACCGCGAATTGAAAGAAAACTATCACGTCGTCCGTCTCATCGGTTCCTTCACTGACATCAATGGTTTGAATGCCGTCTCGACGACCACTCAAGCCGTCGCTGAGGGCAACAGTCGATCGTGTTTTGTGGGTATCGGTCGTCTCCAGACCCCAAAGTTCTTACGGGAGATACAGTTCAAGACAACGGACGGACAAAATCGGGAATTTATTTCCCGTAATTCTCTTGAGTGGAAGTTTTTATATCTGGACCGAAGGGCGCCGCCAATCATCGGGTATTTGCCATTTGAGATATTGGGCACAAGTGGTTACGATTACTATCATTGGGACGATTTGGACGCTGTGGTGGCCGATCACGAACAGCTCATGCGGACGGGAGAGGTCACATCCGGTGTTTACAGGTTTCTGACCAAAAGCCATGAGTGGATTTGGTTGCGGACCTCGTATTACATCGCTTACCATCACTGGGACTCTAAGCCCGAGTATATTGTTTGCACGCATACTGTTGTCAATGAGCAACAAGTCTCGGCCGAGAAAAGCAATAAAGTTAATGATAGACTAAATGGCAAATCACAGGAAAATATAGCCGTCGTTAAGAATAATGATAACAACGATGACAATTGCCATTTAGGACAGCAATTGTTTCAATCGACAACAACGCCAATGAATTGGACTCGTTATTGCTATACTGATGGCCAGAAAACAGATTATCCAGATATAAGTCCATCGCTAATCACATCAATGGATGAAAATAAGACGAGTGGCGAAGAATCGGCGCAAACGACTGCCAAAAACATGAATCAATCGCAAACCAAATCGTCGATTGTTTTAGAATTTTTGCGACAAAAACATGAATTACTTGAACACCAAATACGACAACAACAGGAAGAGCTAAGACGTGTGACCGAACAGTTGGATCTCATTCAGACCGTCGCTGACCAGTAATTAGCAGTCGTGTGTTTCATATTCAAGGTTTAGCATTGTTTTACATTAATTGTTTGCTTTCCTATAAGTAAATTAAATTAAATGTTACTAACCGTGTAAAGTTGTTTGAAACGACCATGCTGATTTATGTTAGAATCTAACTGTTAGATTATAAAACTCTCGTATTATTTAAAAAAAAACAAATTTTTAAACTCACGTCTATTTCTCTGATTGATTGGATATTTCTCAAGAATTGTTCAGTTTATTCACATAATATTATAATAATTATAAGATTTAAGTTGCCATTAAATTATAAGTTATAAATTATAACATTAAAAAATACAAATATAAATAAAAACTATTAAAAATTTTAATGTTTATTGTCTAATGAGATGTATAAAGAATAAAGAGATGTGAAATACTGTACAATTATTGTGTCAAATGTTTTGTCATTTATAAAATGTGTTATATTTGATGAGATATAAAGTGAATATATGTTACTATTCGTCAATTCGTCCCAAAAATCCAATTCTAATCATTCTTCTGATAGGAGTGACAGCTCTTTGAGTACGTCTTCTAGTAATGCGAGTCCTATTGGATCTAACGTTTGCGTCCTTAGGTTTGATTGACTCCTCATAATCGGCCAAATTTACAAACTCTTGTCGTCGGCTGTCGTCGACTCCCGTCTGATATTCAAACCGAACCCGAAGTCTCTCTAATAAAGTCATTCCTCGATAGATATCTCCCGTCTTTTTGGTCGGAAAGTCTATTTTCGGGTCGTTTCCCGTCGAGTGCTTGAGTCGAACCCAAGGATGACTTTCGATGCCATCGATTGTAATCCTTGTCTTGTAATCGATGTTAAATATGTGTTGAAACAAATCCAACAGTTGTTTGTCTTCGTATATAAGTGGAGGGTATTTGACGTTTTCATACGAAGATATAGACCAGAGATCCTCTTTATTCTGGAAGAATGGATACAAACCCGATATCATGCGAAACAAGAGCACACCCGACGACCAGATATCAAACATGGATCCGCTGACCATCACTGGCTCATCGCCCGTATCGGCGAGCAGTTCCGGCGGTTGATATAGTTTTGTGCCCTCAAAGCCAGTGATCAGATCGTTCTCTGTGAACAGATCCGATACATAACTGACACCAAAGTCGGCGATTTTAACTACGTGTGAGGTATCGATGAGTAGATTCTCGTCTTTAATGTCGCGATGATAGACACCAATACTGTGGAGGTATTTGAGACCATCCATGAGTTGCGTGAAGTAGTGGTGAGACTGCCATTTGGGAAGTCTCTGGCCTTCGGCTGACTCTATGATCTCATTGAGAACTCCCACACAATACTCAAGAAATATGTATATCTTATTGTCGGTACTGAAGATGTCAAGCATTTTCATTACATTTTTGTGATTAAATTTGCCCACCATCTGGATCTCCTTCTCCACATTCCTCCTCACATTTGGTGGCATCTTTTGGATGACATTCTTCTTCATTATCTTAACCGCACATCTCTTTAAAGTCTTTTTGTCGATCACTTCTCTCACTGTAGCGAAGGATCCCTTTCCTAAAGTTTCTCCTTTGATATAACCATTGATTTCCTTATATTTGGTCTTCTTCTTGATGTTCACCTCTTCGTCGGCTCCTATTTCTGTGAATTCAAATTCCGATTCACCCATCGATTGAATTGAGTGAATTGCGCTCAAAGGGTATATGTCTGGAGCGACGTTCACTCCACCCATGTTTCCGATGGGAACCAATGGTATGTCCGATGGATTACTTTTGCTGTCTTTCTTATCGTTGGTATCCTTTTTGTCGTTCACTTTCGGATCACTAGAACTGTTCTTATTGTCGTTTTTCTGGGCACTCAAACCACTCTCTTTTGCATCATTGGATCCTTTCTTGTCTTTAGATTTTTGACCATTAGATTCACTCTTTTCTTTGATTTTCTGATCACTGGAACTATTATTTTCCTTATCTTTCTTATCACTGGAACCGCTCTTGTCTTGAACTTTTTGATCACTAGATCCACTCTTATTGTTGCCTTTCTTATCAATAGAACTGCTTTTATGGTCCACTTTCTTATCACTGGATCCGCTCTTTTCCTTGTCTTTCTTATCACTGGATCCGGTCTTGTCTTTCACACCACTTGAACTGCTCTTTTGGTCCACTTTCTTATCACTGGACCCGCTCTTGTCTTTGGATTTTTGATCACTGGATCCGCTCTTGTCTTTGGATTTTTGATCACTGGATCCGGTCTTGTCTTTCACACCACTTAAACTGCTCTTTTGGTCCACTTTCTTATCACTGGATCCGCTCTTGTCTTTGACTTTCTGATCACTTGATCCGCTCTTTTCTTTGTCTTTCCTATCACTGGATCCGGTCTTGTCTTTCACACCACTTGAACTGCTTTTTTGGTCCACTTTTTTATCACTGGATCCGCTCTTTTCCTTCCCTTTCTTATCGCTGGAACCGCTTTTGGGGTCCATTTTCTGATCACTGGATCCGCTCTTATTGTCAACTTTCTTATTATGACTCTTGTCATTGATTTTCTGATTACTGGATCCGCTTTTTTCCTTGTCTTTCTTACCACTGGAACTGTTCTTATCATTTGCTTTATTATTACTCGATCCGCTCTTTTCATTGTCTTTCTTGTCACTGGAACTGCTCTTATGGTTGACTTTCTGATTATTGGAACCACTTTTTTCTTTCTTATCGTTGGAACTGCTTTTAGGTTTGTCTTTCTTATTATCACTCATTGTCTTAAGTAATGAAAATTTACCAAAAATTAAAATGATTTCTTAGATATAAAATTCAAATAACAATTGATTTGAATTAAATATATAGCGTTATAAACAATATATACTTTAGTTTACAGTTAACTGTAAAGTAAATTATCGTCATTATTGTTGTCACGACTTATATTGTTTTGTGTAATTGTTTTCAATTTGAATAATTCGTTGTCTTTATTAACACATCCATCAGTTATGTCCCAAAAAAGACAAGTCTTTATCTCAACACTGATCCTAACTTTACTTGTGATCTATGGGTTTATGACTCAAAATAAATGGTTAAATGTTATTCAAATTAAAGCGATTGAACTAAAGTTGAATTTGAGTGTCATCTCAGACGACATCAATGTTACAAAGTCTACACTTCAAAGCGTTGACAATCATCTCAAGAGTTTATCACAACTGAAACCAAACAAAATTGGTTCACGTCTTATATACGCGGACGCGATGTTTGAAATGACAAACATTACTATCGATAAGGAGTCGTGTAGTGAAGAGTTTGGTAAAGATCTGCTCCTTATTGTTATGGTATTCAATCGAGTTCATGACTTCGAGGGAAGACAAGCCATTCGTCAGACATGGGGTCAAGAATTTAAGACCAATAATAAGACGAGAATATTCTTCATTATCGCTTTGTCCAAAGATATCGGCGTTCAGACAAAAGTGGTCAAAGAAAATGAACAATTTAACGATATTTTGCAATTTGCTTTTTATGACGATTACTATAACCTTACGATTAAATCGGTGGCACTCTTGAGATGGACAGCAATGAAGTGTCCATTTGTTAAATACATGCTTAAAGTGGACGACGACTCACTTATAATACCAAACAAATTGCTTGACTTTTGCCGATCGAGTGATGCGAACGCTATATTTGGCTATAAATGGCATAAACCTTATGTAAAACGCGGTCAAAACAAATGGGCATTAAGTTTGAAGGACTATCCACACGAGTATTACCCTGATTACATCAGTGGCCCATATCTAATACCCGGTCACTACTGTTTGGCATTGTATTCGATGGCAATCACCCGATACTTACCGGCGCTTCCCATCGAAGACGTTTATGTGACGGGAATTGTTGCCAATCATCTGAATATCAAACGTCAAAAATTGGATTCTCTCTATTGTTTGGACAAGTTTTGCGATCCATTGTCTCTCGACTTTTTCCACTATCAAAATGGGTTCATATTTTGGCAAAGGTTTAACTCTAACTCTTTGATTACAATTTGGAGTTTATATCAAAAATCAAATCTATTTTCTTGGAAGAGAGGAACGAAAAGATGTGGTTTTTGACTACAAGTGAAATGACTGCGAAAGTGAATGATATGTTTATTAAAGTAAATTTTATTTTGTAATTAATTTATACCTTTTATTATTTTATATTTATTGCAATAAAACCAAATATTTCAAATTAAGTGTTAATACAAAGGAGGATGGGGGAGACTCTATATTAATTTGCCCAAAACAATAATTTTTATTTAACCCTCAGGAAAAAAGTTACGTTGATGGTATAGTGGCCGATTTTTAGTTAAAAGTTAATTTAAAGCGATTTTCTTTA